TATGTGACTCCACTTCTTGACATTCAGAGTCAGATGAATCAAGAATTGATGATGGAATAACTGAGGATGTGGTGATAGGGCAACTACTTTGAACTGTAACTGGTGTAGTTGAAGTGGTACTAACACTTGAGGTGACCAGTGTGTGAAATTAACACTCGTCCACTCGTCTTTACCGAGTACAGCAGCTACCAGGACAAGCTAAATATTCTTCTAACTTGAGACAAGGACGAGTGGATTTCAAGAAGAATGCACACGTGTTTCCACATGCATGATATTAATATCAATTATTATTAATAATTATTATAATTAATAAAAATAATAACACACGGATGGTACTTGAGCAACCATGAGCAACTTGTTGAGCTATTTTGAGTTATCGAGGAAGCGACATAATAGCCCTGTTGGAGAAGTTGATACATCTGACGTATGTGTATCTACTTAACCTTTGATGAAGAAGAAGCGTCGTCCTTTTCAACAGAAATGGCTTTATGAATACTCATGGCTACGCTACGATGATGGCACGATGTTTTGTGCCATATGCCGTCAGGAACCTGTTGCAGATAAGTCATCTACTCTTGTAATTGGTGTTACTGGTGAGTTTCGGAGAGAAACTCCATTATCATCATTTGACTCAACTCTCTCTGAGTCAACTGAAAATCAAGAACCTTCAATTATAGACTCAAGTTACTCTGAAGATGATTTTTCAAAAGATTTTGATTAAAAAACGTGTATAATTTTGTTTGAATAAAATTAATCAACAATTACATGTATTATATGTTAATAATAATGGGTGGACGAGTAAAGAATATAAACAACTTGTCCCTGGGCTATAAACAGAAAAAGTTAATTTCAAACACTGCTCAAGGAAGAGCACTCTTTCATGAAAAGAGATCCTTGCCATTTATGCCAAAGACTTTAAATCCAAAGGAGATTGTTGCTAGATCAAGGGGCGAAGTGGTTACTGCAACTGAGGATATCACATTTGATGATTCTCTAGTTAAAAGTTTTTCAAAGCCAGCAACATCACAAGAAACTCAAATTGGACTTGCTAGAGATGCAATTCACAAGAAGTTGGTGGCACTCGCAGATACTGGTTGTTGGTTGGTTAAAGGAACTGATGAAAAAGGAACTGATGAAGTTACACCTTATGCTATCACCCTTCGCCCAGAAGAATTAGCTCTTGTTTTCATTTATCTGAATGATATCATATTATGGCGTGTAAACTAATGGTATGTGTAACTATTTATGACCTAAGGAATCCTAGTGCATCA